TGTAACATATAGTATTTAAAATCCTAAAATCTCTATAGTTTATGTGCTTTGCAGCTTTCATTTAGCCTGCACATTTTAAAGACACAGCCATGGTTCTGCAATTCCTGCTTTTCTCTGCTTTGAAATATAAAACAGATCTAAGAGAGTCAGTTTTCATAGCCCCATTGACAAAGCTGTAATGAAAATAAAGCCATTTCTTCTCAAAGCCTTACAAAAGTGTTTTTTGTAAAACTGAATGGTTGCTAACACTTTCAAGAGGCCTTTGAATCATACTTAAAGAAAAGCTACTTAGGACAGATTTAAAAAGGTTCTGTTGCATGGGAAACTTTTGTGTACCTGCCTTATAGGGTTGCAGAATCTTCTGGATGTTCTTTGTGCTGCCACAGAAGCTGTATCAGAAGAGTAACTTTCTGCTGTAATGCAGTTGATGTGCATGGTTGATAAGGAGGGTACCCAATGCAGGCTGGTTTCTCTTGCAGCCATTGGAGCCTCCACCACAGTGTACGTGACCGAGGCCAACGGCAACCCCAGCGCCGACTTCGACCCCGAGAAGGATGAGGGGGAAGTTCAGTACCTGATCAAATGGAAAGGCTGGTCATACATCCACAGCACCTGGGAGAGCGAGGAGTCCTTGCAGCAGCAGAAAGTGAAGGGCCTGAAAAAGCTGGAAAACTTCAAGAAGAAAGAGGAGGAGATCAAGCAATGGTAGGCTTCGCTTCAAGCAGTGATTTGGCCTTGGGCAAATTGTTTTTAGCCAGAGGTTTGAGGAATCGTGACTGAAAATGTTTGATTTCTTCTTCCAAAATCTGTTTCATGTGCACTCTGGTCTGTCTTTGCCTGCTGAGGAACATCCCCCCCCACAGAAATTATATCTGTGGTGTGGCTGGCTGGAAAATGGAGAGGACAAGGTGTGAAATCCACACTATTGCCACTTCTAGGCTTAAGAATTGAGAAGGCTGATGGCAAATAAATGGTGCACAGACTCACCTGCCCCAGGAGGTGCTGTGACCCTTGTTAATTATGGGCATCTATGTGTGCAAGTTTTTGCATCCAAGTTTATGTCCAGCTTCCCCAGGAACTGTTAGAGGAGCTACAGTGTCTTTCCAAAATGCTAAAGCTGGAGTAGCAGCTTCCACCTCTATTTGGTTCCTGTTTAAAGATTGATTCTTCATTAGAATAAGGCAGCATTTAACAGGGAGACAATCTGAACATCTATGACATTCACTTCTCAGCAATAATTTATAATTTTAGGAAATTTATGAAACATGTCATATAACAGTAGATTGCCCTTGTGACTTGTCTGAATGACAGAACCATATAGGAAAGTAGATTTTCTATATGCAACATCCATGAGCACTATGACAGAAGCATTATAGTGTTTTTTTGTTGTTGTTTTGAATTATTTTGCATCTAGGCTGGGCAAGGTATCACCTGAAGATGTAGAATATTTCAACTGCCAACAAGAGCTGGCTTCAGAGCTGAACAAACAGTATCAAATAGTGGAGAGGGTAATTGGTAAGTGGAGCCAAGACTTTGGTAAAGGGGTGAAGTAGGAGTGGAAACTTTATTCCATGTGAAAGCAGAATGAGTATACAGCTCTCTCTTCTTCCCTGTCCTCCAGTATCCCTGAGGAAAATTTCACTGTATTTCACTGTATTTCACTGTGTGAAATTTAGGAATTTGGACAGTAGAAATCCAGGTTTACAGCTTCATATTTACAAGCAATACAAATCAGTGACTCTCCTTGCCTGGAGTACAGGGTGACACACTAGTTTCCAACAGGTTGCTGAGATTGTTGCTACTGAAGTTCTTTGTCTTTAGTCCTTTGGATGCAAGATGTTTGTTCCCAAAGCAGCAGCATGGGCCTGGCTTTTGTGAGGTCCACTTTCCGTGGTGTGGTTGAGGATGTGGTTAGGCTGCAAGGCAGCTCAGTGGTGAGATTTTCATGATTAACTAATAAAAATAAAACCAGAACTTACTGAGCACAATAATATCACAGTCGTGTCAGTCAGAGGTGCCAGTACCCAGTTGCTTTGAGAATTGGCTTGGAGAGCTGTTTGACCTATTTCCAGTACAATTCCTGTAAAAACGTGGGTGTGAGGCAGCAATCGCCTGCCCTGCTCCCTCTGCTGGCTGCCAGCATTCCAACCCTCCCCTCCCTTCTCTCTCCAAACACAGCTGTGAAGACCAGCAAGTCTGCCACGGGACATTCAGATTTCCCAGGTAAAGGAACATTTTTTTGGTCTCTCTACACTTTTCCTATGAGCCAAGACGTGTCTTGTGGCTGTTGGGGCAGTTCAGCCTGTGAACCGTGCTTATGGTTCAGCTGCTCAACCACAGGTGCTGAGCTTTGGGCTTTTTGCATATTTTACAGCAAACAGTCGCAAAACTTCCTCGAATGACCCTGAATACCTGTGTAAGTGGATGGGGCTGCCCTATGCTGAGTGCAGCTGGGAAGATGAGGCTCTGATCAGCAAGAAATTTCAGCACTGCATTGACAGCTTCAACAGCCGTAACAACTCCAAGACCATTCCCACCCGGGACTGCAAGGTTTGCTGGCTTCTCTTCTCTCCTCTCCTTTGCTGGGTTCCTCCAGGCTGGGGGAAGATGCAAGCGGTGGGAATGTGAAATTTTGTCAGGATAAATGTCAGAGAACATTTTCCCATCCTTCCACCTGCGTTTGAAGGGTTGTTTGCTGTTCTGGTATTGTACTTCAAGCAGAGACGTGAACCCCTTTGAGTTTCATTTACTCTGTGCACAGTGAGAACTTTATGTCCCCCTGGGGAGTGGGAGGCTTAATTAATCTTTGCAAAGTGCTTCCTCCTCAGAAGGAGCTGCAGCAGTTTTAATATCAGTTGGATGAAAAAACAGCACACTTGGGAAAATAGGAAGCCTGCGAGATGCTTATACAGTGAAGGAGAGGGACAGAAATAATGGGAGAAAAACCAAAAGAGGACAAAGAAGGAAGTGGAGCATGTTCTGACTCGTGTGTATTTTGTGCAGCTTACTACACTCCTGAGGGACTCAGAGCCCTGATCATAAACCAGAGGGCAGCAGAAAAATCACAAGAAATGCAGACGCTGCACTGGCTAGGAAAATGTGGATGGACTTGAACCAGTGAAGAGATAAACACTCTTTGCTGAATTCATAGACTTCATTGCTGAATTTCCAGCCTTTCAGCCACTGAGAGTTCTGCCTTTCTCTTCAGTGGACTGATGGCAGCATCTGTTTCAGGTGTTGAAGCAGAGGCCAAGGTTTGTTGCCTTGAAGAAGCAGCCCTCATACATCGGCGGGGAGAACCTGGAGCTGAGGGATTACCAGCTGGAGGGCCTCAACTGGCTTGCTCACTCCTGGTGCAAGTATGTACAGAGGCTGGCATGTTCATTCTGTGGCTTTTTTGTCCCAGAAGGATTTGACATTCCTCCTTTTCAAGTGAGGTCTTTACCCACCCTCCTTCTGCAGCTTGGAGGATTTCAAATGTTATCATGCCCAGATGCATTGCAGACACTGCAAGCAGGAACTACCTAAAGCATGAACTTAAGAAACCTTGTGTGAAGACAAAAGGGATTTTCCCTGTCTGGGCCTGTTCACACGGTGAATTTGGCTGTTGAGTGAGCCTGGTACATATCAGCCTTAGATTTCCATTGGCTTAATGGGAAAAAATGGTTACTGGCTCAGAGTCCTTATATACTCATTGAAGTCTTTGAGAGATGTCCTTCTAAAATTAGGCCACTGATTCCCGTCTGCCTTTGCCTGTTTTCCTCCACTTTAGAGTCATCATAGTTAATTTTTGCACATTATTGTGCCATGTTCAGTCTGGCTGTCCCTGAGATGCACTTGGAAGTGTTCAAATAACTGTTTTTGCACTGCCCCTCTCTGTCCTTATTGTGGATTGCTGTTCATGTGGAGCACAGTAAATGAGCAGAAACATGCACTCAGACAGCATTTTTGTTTGTTCTCCTCTTTCTCAGGAACAACAGCGTGATCCTGGCTGATGAAATGGGGCTGGGCAAGACGATTCAGACAATATCATTCCTGTCCTACCTGTTCCATCAGCACCAGCTGTATGGCCCTTTCCTGGTGGTCGTGCCCCTGTCCACCCTCACCTCCTGGCAGAGGGAGTTTGAAGTGTGGGCCCCTGAAATAAACGTGGTGGTTTACATTGGAGACCTCATGAGCAGGAACATGGTGTGTAATCAGAGAGCAACGGGTGAGGGCTCAGGGTGAAGCACTGGGTGCTAGGCAGCAGCTTGTGTGTGATGTGTGTGACACACAGTCAGCTGGAGAGGCTGGTGGGTAGTGCTGGCAGCACTGCAGGCAGCTGGAGCTGGTGTAACTGAGTGTGTGGGTATAACTCCCTGCTGCTGGGAATTTTCTGCTGGATTTTGCCTCTTGGGGTGAGTGCAGGAGTACTGGCTTCTCTCTGGAAGCCAGTGCTGATCTGGACTGAAACATGCAGTGAGAAGTCCAGCAGTGTAAAAGTGCTTGTCTTCAGTGTTTGGAGCTGTTCAGACAATGGAACACACAAGTGTTGGGACTCTAGTGGTGTCCACAGTGAGGTGATGTGTTCATTAATATCACAACAGCAAGTTAACCTTATTTTGTTAGCTGTGCAAGGGCAGTTGAACCATGTATGCTCTAAAACAAATTGTTCCTTGGGCACCTTGAGCTCACCAAATGGCACCTTGGAACAAGAGGGGTTTGGGCTTGGTTGGAGTCTGGCTTACAGCTGCACTAAGATAACAATTGTAAGCTCTTTCCTTTTGGTAACGTGTGTTCAAGTTAACTTTTGTCTCTGCTCACAGATACGTGAATATGAGTGGATCCATTCTCAGTCTAAAAGATTGAAATTCAATGCACTTATCACAACGTACGAGATCCTCCTGAAGGATAAGGTGAGTAATGGTCCAAGAATGGTTTTACTTAGACTTCCTCTCATTTTCAAAGGGGAAAGCCAGTTCTTAGCTAGTGTGTTTCACCTTTCCCTCTATGGTGGTGTAGAACTACAGCCACTATTTGCTTTTCCTTCCCAATAATGCAAGCAAATGTGGGAATGTGAGACACATTTTTCAGTGTCTTCACTCTTGTACTGCACAGTTGTGCTATTCTTTTTACATGTAAGACATCTGGCAGGATCCAGCAATACCTGGATTTTTACCTGGTTTAATTTAGGTTTGTTAAGAGGACAAAACATTACACTGAACCTCTGGCCATAATGTTAATAGTATTTATATTTTTACATCTTCAAGAAATCTGTCTGCTTAGGAAATATTCATCAGCCCTGTCAGTGTATCACTGAGTCCTAGCAGAAAACAAAAAGCTTAAATAAAAAGAAAAAAAATTAAATCAAAACTCTTGGATTACCTGAACTTTTTAAGCTTGTTCATCTTTTCTCCTGTTCTTGCTCCAGTGGGACTAGTGCTACCCAGGGCCTCAAGGGCATGGGGAAAGAGGGGAATAAAGAGCTGGGGAAGGACTGTGCTTTCTGGGTAAAGCAAAGGAGGATTAGGATAGGTGTACTCGCTGCAGGACTATTGAGATAGAGCAGGAGTGTGTGCAGCATGACTAATTTTCACCTTTTCCTTTCTGGGAAGGCGCCCTGGTCCTCAAATTTTTTAGCAAGAAAATCCTGTGATGGTCCAGGTGCAGGGCTGGGTCGGGACACCCTGGGCAGCACAAACTGCAGAGACACACGTGCACGGTGTTGGGGCCTGTCTGAGCCTCTCCTCACCCCTGTGTTTTTCCCTTCCCTTCCTTCAGACTGTTTTGGGAAGCATTAACTGGGCCTTTCTAGGCGTGGACGAAGCCCATCGGTTGAAGAATGATGACTCCTTGCTGTACAAAACCTTGATTGATTTCAAGTCCAACCACAGGCTGCTGATCACTGGCACCCCACTTCAGAACTCACTCAAGGAGCTCTGGTCCCTGCTGCACTTCATCATGCCAGAGAAGTGAGTCTCCTTTTGAGCCTTCTCAGAATTGTCTCTGTCCATTCTTGTCTTTTAATAGGCTCAAGGGAGTGCAGAATGGCAGAAATCCCTGAATTAAATCCCTGAATTAAACTCAGTGGTGTGACAGCAATGATAGGAGGACAGACATTAGTGAGGAAAATCAAAGGTTAAATAACTAACACAGGGAGTATTTCTGGCAGCAAACTGAATGGGAAAACCTGATACATGCCTTACAAATCTGTCTGCTGTCTTCCAGCCATCTCTAAAAAGCTAGACTTGTTTTAAGCAATCATTTCAGCCATTTCTGAGGTTTCCAGTACACTGTGGTTCAGGCACCTCTGCCAACCATTTTGTGGCAGCTCTGGGGGTGCTGCCTGGCTGATTGTGTGTCCACAGTGTAACAAATATTTTGTTTCCTTTAAAATAAAATGAATTATGGGCATCTCTAAGGCTAAGGCAGGCATGCCCCAAAGCTCACTGAAATTATGTTTGACTGCAAGAAGAGCTGTCCCCCAAATTCTTTTTGTTGGATCACAGAAAGAGTGAATGAAATGCTTGAGGTCTCCCAAGTGGAGGAGAGTGGATCTCCACATTTCAAAGGAGCTGTCAGATGAAGCAGCAATCCCAAAAGAGCCTTCAGAGCAGGGTAAAACAGTCCAGTTGTCAAAGCTGTGCCTGAGGGAGGCACTGAGGAAAGTTCAGAAACTGCTGCCAGGTAAATGCCAACAGAGTAAAATAATGGGAAACTGGGGATTTTGGGTCCTGGGAGTCAGTGTGGAGCTCAAATGTAAAATGTTAGGAAGGTGTCTAAGCCCAGAGATGCTGTAGCTTTGCCACCAGTCTGTTCAGTTGACCAGAGCAGAGTGAATCTGTTGTCTTACACTGTGTTTCCATTAAACTGCTGGTCTCCTGTCTTGTGGTGCAGCAGGAGTGTATCCAGTAGATGCTGTTTGGTGCCATGAGACAAGAGGTATTCTGACTCCTCCCTTCTCTTCCTTTCTGTTGCCAGGTTTGAGTTCTGGGAGGATTTTGAGGAGGATCACGGGAAGGGTAGAGAGAATGGCTACCAGAGCCTTCACAAAGTCCTGGAGCCATTTCTCCTGCGCAGAGTGAAGAAGGATGTGGAGAAATCTTTGCCAGCCAAAGTGGAGCAGATCCTCCGGGTGGAAATGTCTGCTCTGCAGAAGCAGTATTACAAGTGAGTCTCTGAATAAGTTACTGGGAGTGCCAGTAGAAAAGGGCACATCTTTCTGTGGGCCTTGGAACTTGGTGTTCCAGTATTCTGGGCATACTGTGGCCTTCAGAGTGCAATGTGACACTATCGCCTGTAGTACTGGGAGCTTCCCAGAAGGAATATGAGGTAGGGTAGTTGATAACTTTCCTTCTGGAAGATGTTTTTGTAGAATGATACAGTTCATTCTGTATCTGTAGGATGACATTCTGTAGAATTATACAGTTTCAAAGAAAACTGGGCAGTTTTGCAAGACAGAAGTTATGTTTTTTCTGGGGGAGTGACAATATGCAGAAGGTTGGGATGCTGTTCAATAGTGAACTGTGATAATATCAGTAGGAAAGTCACGTCAGAGTTTTTATAGAGGAAAGAGCATCCTGTAAGAGGAATGAGGAGAGATGGAGGGAGGGAAGTAGACTGATGGCTGAATGAGCTGTTCCTGAAGGTTTTGTTCCTCCAAGACTTCGCTCTGCACTGAGTAATGATCTGGGTTTTAATTTTCCTGCCTGCAGGTGGATTTTGACAAGAAACTACAAAGCTCTTTCAAAGGGAACAAGGGGAAGCACATCTGGTTTCCTGAATATTGTGATGGAGTTGAAAAAGTGCTGCAACCATTGCTACCTTATCAAACCTCCCGAGGAAAACGAGAGAGAGAATGGCCTTGAGACCCTGCAGGTGAGTGGTGTCCTTGGTCACCACTCTTTTTTCCTTAAATTTCATTATTTTGTTCTCCCAACAAACTAATATCTGATGAAGCTTTAGCTTCTGTGGCTTCTTCTTTAAAAATAGTTCTCACAACCAAGCCATTTGAACCCCCAGCCCCCCAGTTCCACTGTAGGAAACATTTTCCTTCTAGAGCAGGAGTTGTGGGCAGTGTAAGATCTATCTTGTGTGATTCGTTGTGTGTGTGGGCTCTGCTGTGTAAATCCAGATGATTAGATTAGAGATGTACAAGAGACGAATGACCCCTAAAGGAGCAGGTCTGTGCATGTCTCTGTGTGATGTACATAAGGGTAAGATTGGAAATGATGGTTATTTCTTCAGTCTTTGATCAGGAGCAGTGGAAAGCTGATTCTCTTGGACAAGCTGCTGACCAGGCTGCGGGAGAGAGGCAACAGAGTGCTGATCTTCTCCCAGATGGTGAGGATGCTGGACATCTTGGCAGAGTACCTGACTATCAAACACTACCCTTTTCAGGTGAGAAACACCAGCATGGAAAACAGTGGGGTCCCCTTGAAAGTATGGGGAAAAGTGGAGGGATCTTGAGGAGTGGGAGTCAATGAGTTCCCCAGAGGCTGGTGGCTGGGATTACAGGTGGCACTTACTGGAGGGAACTGGGGTGTCCCCTCATTTCAGTGTGGCCCCAACTCTGCAAAACTCCTCTGCAGGCCCCTGCTTTGGGCTGTGTCATGTGATAAACCCTGAGGACAGTGAGCACAGAGAGCGTGGCTGGGAGCCTGTAACGGGAGCTGCGGTGTCACCCGCTGTGTTCCCTGAGCATCCCCCAGCCCTTGTGACACAGCTGAGGCACTGCAGCTATTTTTAATTGGTGGCTATTTTTAACAATAAACAGGCAGGCAGCAAAGGGGGCTGTAGGGCTGGCAGCACTCGGGTGCAGCAGCCCCTCGGGGCTCCTTTCCCTGCTCTCTTTGATGCCTGTTGTTGGTTTTTGCAGCGCTTGGACGGCTCGATCAAGGGGGAGATCCGAAAGCAGGCGCTGGATCACTTCAACGCCGACGGCTCCGAGGTACTGCACTCCTGGGCAGAGGGATTGTGGCTGAGCCACAGGTTGTGACTGTCACCAGGGGAATAGTTCAGCTCAGTTCTTTTTACAGGACCCCAGGTTCTTCTAAAGACACGGATATGGCAGGTTTTGCAACCGGCCACATTCCTTATTTTAAATCTGTCATATCCAAGGAACAGGGCTGCAGGTCACATTTCCAGAAAGTCCTGAAGACACTGGGAAGAGATAAAATTTAGCAATTATCTCCCTATTTGTCTGGAGAATGAGATGGTTGCTGAGTGATTCTAGTCTGAAGCTGGTTTTGAATATGGAATGACAGAGGCAAAAGAAGGATTTTAAGTGTTGGCAGGCAGTGGAGTCTGGTGCTGGAGGTGAATGTCTCCAATGTAATAGGAGAGGGCATCTGAAGCCTCTCATCTGGGCTTGCTGACTCACAGTGACTGGTGCAAGACACTTGTTTTTGTGTCAGGCAGCCCAGCTGTGAGAAATACCTTTCCTCACTCCAGAAGCTTGGGCTGGAGCGGAATTCTTGGCTCATGCAGGAATTGTGAGAGACTGTGGTTGTGGGAAAGTTAACAAAAGGAACTGTGAGGGGGGAAGGAGCAAGAATGCACATAGAACCTGCCCTTTTCCCTGTCTTGAGGACATCCAGGGGGCTCAGGCATCTTGGCTCTAACCTGGCACAGTCTGTTCATTGCTGATCTCACTCCTAACAGGATTCAGGCAACAAAAAGCAGGTGTTTGCCTGCTGCCTTTGTAGGAGTCTGGTGGTCTGACCTTCAGAAGTGACTCCAAGGTGCCCTTGCCTTGAGCTGCTTGTGTTTCTCTCCTATTTTGATTCATGCCTGGAGTAGCACACCCTTCACCTGGGCCAGCACTGCCTCACCTGGGTCTGGGCTTAAAGACTGGTGCTGCTCAGCCTGCATGAACAGGGTATATGGGAAACAAATCCTTTTTCTGCTTTGAGAAGGATGAGTGCAACAGAGCCTTCCCTCCATTTCTTTCTACAGCTTTTGAGTCACCATTGCTATTTTATGCCCACAATTACAAGCTGGTTAACTCATGGATGCTTTTTATTTTTTCATTCCCAGGACTTCTGTTTCTTGTTGTCAACACGAGCTGGAGGGCTGGGAATTAATTTGGCCTCTGCTGATACTGTTGTTATCTTTGACTCGGACTGGAACCCCCAAAATGATCTTCAGGCTCAGGCCCGAGCTCATCGGATTGGACAGAAGAAGCAGGTCAGAAGAGCTGCCTGGGTTCTTTTCACTGTGGCTTCAGTGTGTGCATCTAAACATCCTCCCACCTCCCCAAAGCTTCTGAAAACATGGGCTTTTTGTCCCAGTCCTTGCTCCAGAGAGTGCTACCCGAGGGACTCTTATTTAAAAAGTAGGAGGCAATAAAACAGCCCAGATTTGCCAGGTGCCAAGTCTTTCTGTTGGTTTTGAGCAAACCTAGAGCCCAACCCGTGGCATTGCACTTCTCAGCCTAGTCCTAGTGGACTCTGTTTTTTCTTGCCCTGAAAAACTTAAAAAGTAGAACATCCACCTTTGCTAGGTGAAAAGTGAGTTTGGTGTTAGTTTGAATTTAGAGTGATTGTTTCAGAAGATCTTTACTCTGTGCTTAGGCACACTACAGGGTCTGTGTTAACCATCCTGATTTTAACTGGATCTCCTGAGATACAGAGAGAATGTGCTTGTTTTTCTTCTGAAAAAGCACATCTGTACATGAAGAGACAATGTCAGCAGCCTAGTGAAAACAGCTGAGGGATGCATTGCTGTATCAGCAGAGCCTGTCCAGAAAATAGCTGTGCTCTCTTTTTGCCTCTCAGGTGAATATTTACCGCCTGGTCACAAAGGGGACAGTGGAGGAAGAGATCATTGAGAGAGCCAAGAAGAAAATGGTGCTGGATCATTTGGTCATCCAGCGTATGGACACCACTGGCCGGACTGTTCTGGACAACAACTCTGGGAGATCCAAGTACGTGACTGTGTCAGGAGGCAGAAATGTCAGGAACACGTGGCATAACCAGCTTTGCCTGCTGGCATTTCCCAGTATTTATTTGATAGGGTACAGGGCAGAAGGCTAATAAATAATGGCAGCTTCCACTGATTTGGCTTCTGCAGCCATTAATTTGGACACATAGGATAAAGATGATCAGAAATTTAAAACTAGTTTTAAGGCACTACTTGTTTTTGCTTCTGTCTTCTACCCAGAGATCATTCTGGTCTGAGGGAAGCTGGCTGTGGAACAGCTGCATTTTGGCAGTGACCTCAGATTCTCTTCATTTCCCCCAGTAGATGGAGACGGTTCCTATTGGAGTCTTTGTCTGTGCTAGAGCAGGAAATAAATTAATAACAAAGCTTTTCATAGTGCTGGGTAGAAAACTTACTTCTTGATTCAATTATAAAAAAACTTTGGTATGGTTTTGTGCTGTAGCAGTTCTGTCTGAATAGCTCAAAACACCTTTCCCTTCTCTTGTTCTTGCAGCTCAAATCCCTTCAACAAAGAGGAGCTGACAGCTATTTTGAAGTTTGGAGCTGAAGATCTTTTCAAGGAGCTTGAAGGGGAAGAGTCAGAGCCTCAGGTAGTTTGAAATTGAAATCACATAGCAGTTTGTAGTGCTCTCCAGGTCTGCAAAAGGGACTATGTGGTTGCTCCTGCTTTTTTCTTGCCCTGTGCATGAGAGCAGGTTAGTGAATAGGACATGTGGGAGTCTGGAGGAACTGAAAGCAGAATCTGGATCGGGGGATCATGGGTTGAGGAGAGCCTTGTTGTTGGGGATTAAATAGTAGTGGTCACCAAGGCAAGTCCCTTGCCTCCTGAGGATTATTAGCTAGTGACAGCACAATCTGCTGAAGGCTCCTCTCCCTGCCTCTTCTGAGCACTTGTTCAGCATCCTCTTTTGGTGGTTCTGAATGAAGCAGGAGTCAGCACAGTGCAGTGAACAGCTCGCTGTCTCCTACCTCAGTGCAACATTGCTTGACAGTTTAGCATTAAGTGTTTTGACCAATTCTCTTAATGGCCCAAGCAGCAGAGCTTCCCCCCAGGGAAACAGTCAACAGTTCATGCATTTCACTGCCTGGAAATTTTCCCCACTGTTCAGCCTTGATGGTCCTTTCCTTCTGTTCTGTCACCTTATTTGTACTTTGTTGTACCACTTGAGATAGTTCATCCCTGCCCTGTGGGATGACACCCTGCAGATATTTGCACTTTATTTAGCTCATATCAGCACACAAGTCTGTTCTCAAAGCCTCTTACTTCCTGCTGTGCCTGGCACCCTCCACTTTATCCCTCCTTGTCCCTGGCTGGCAGGAGATGGACATCGATGAGATTCTGCGTCTGGCTGAAACACGGGAGAATGAGGTGTCCACCAGTGCCACCGACGAGCTGCTCTCACAGTTCAAGGTAGGGACCCCCAGGCCCTGTACTGGGGTGTGGGAATGTGGATCCCCACACCCCGCCATGGTGGTGAGGTCAGCAACAGGCAGGAACACCTCGGGGAGATCACAGAGTCACAGAATGGTTTGGGCTGGAAGGGAACTTAAAGATCATCCAGTTCCAACCCCCCTGATGTAGGTATTAATTTAATTTCAAGAAAATGGTTTCAAAGGCTGCGAATAAAATGCAGAATTTACCAAATTTGGAAAGAAACCCAATAATTTATAAATACTCAGCAGTACTTCTTAAACTGCACGTACTTCCTCAAAAGCTGTTAGTCCAAAGACGTGGCAAGGAGCCAGGAATGTAGTGACATAGGGATCAATTATGAAGGAGTTATGGAAGTGTTGGCAGAATTCCTATGGAGAAGGAGTTGAGGCTTAGCAGACAGCTCTGGAGTGTTCCTGCCAGGGGAGGCAATTGCTAAAACTTCTCCTTTGCTTGTAAAAGGTTGCCAACTTTGCAACTATGGAAGAGGAAGAGACAGAGCTGGATGAGCGGTCCCAGAAGGACTGGGATGATATCATTCCAGAAGAGCAGAGGAAAAAGGTGGAGGAGGAAGAAAGGCAGAAAGAATTGGAGGAAATCTACATGCTGCCTCGAATCCGGAGCTCAACTAAAAAGGTACAGCCCATCTTGAGGGGATGAGAGGCTGGAGGAGAGAGCTGGCAAGGAGAATGCTCAGGGGAAGCCTCCTTGCCATCTGGGCATCTTTCCCTCCTCCAAAGTTAGTTGGGAATGAAACACAGAGGTAGCACAGTGATCTCTTGTTGGCACTGTGCATTGGACCAATGGTCTGGGATTCTGTATGAGGGCCCAGACTGGACTCACCTTAGCAGACAAAATAAAAAGACTCTGTAGCGATCACAAAGCAAAGTATCCAATTGTATTGGATTTTGCTGCAGATTTTGCCATTTTTTGGCTGTCTCTTTTCCTGGGACTCTCCAGCTCCCTGCATAGCTCTTGCCTAAATCTGGATCCTGAGGAGGAAAAGAGATGGTGTGTTCCCAGGTTCTTCTTTAGGTAATGGAATCTACCCCTATCCAAAAGAAAGCTGAACTGCAAGAATGCTCTGCTGGGACATGGGACTTTAAGGGATTAGAACTCTTCTCTGGGGTGAGCTGGGGAAAAGTACTGACATGAAGAACACAGAGAAGGATAATTCATGTTGGAAGAATCCAGATTAATTTCTGAGGTGTCCTGGTTTTCAAAATAGTCTAAGGGACTGGTGGCACAAACCCATGGAAATCAATATTTTAACATCTTGTAGTAGAGCAAAATGCAATTGTGAAACTGGTGGCTGTAAAAGGAGGATGACCACCACAGGCTCAGCCAGCTGGGAACTACAGGGGTGTGCAGCCTCTCTGGGTTGTCACATGGGCTCCTGCATCTTCAGGAATGGATGCTCAGGTGTTTTACAGTCCATTAAATAGTGCCAGTGCACGGAGGGACAGAAAAGGTTGTTAGCTGATTAGATGAGCAGTTGCTAACTGTACTGCTGTTTCTCTGGTCCGTGCAGGCTCAGACAAATGACAGTGAATCTGATGCAGAGACCAAGAGAAGGCTTCAGAGATCATCTGGATCAGAAAGCGAGACCGACGATACCGACGACGAGAAGAGACCGAAGCGCAGGGGACGCCCTCGCAGTGTTAGAAAAGACACTGTGGAGGGATTTACTGATGCTGAAATCAGGAGGTCAGTGCTGGACACAAGAGACAGGTCAGAAAACAAATATAGAAATCCCATGCAGGTGGAGAAAATCCCAGATTAGTCCAGGAAGTGTTCACCTGTAAGCACGTCAGTGGTTAGGCAGAGCTGGTTCACTGGCACAGCTTCTGCACCTTTATATAATTCAGTTTGATCCCAGCTGATGACCTGAACATTCAGGTCAGTGCAAACTGGACTGGATTGTCTTTAGTCAGGTTACAGTGAAGCTGGTACCTTCCTAAAATTAATCTGTGCTGTAACTGCCCTTTGTGGGCCAAGTGGATGGAGCTAATACCATATAGCATGTGAGGTCTTAGGTTCCATGAGCTGCAGAGCTGGAGAAGCCAAGGGCTGTGGCCTTCCTGACATTTTTCTGGCAGTCATCCTGCTGATTTAAGCTCTCAGGGAAAGGCAGGCTCTGGCAAAATGACCTCATGAGAAGCGCTGGTCCTGTTGATCCGAGTGGTTGGTGTCAGTCTCTGATGTCAGCTGGGGACTGAATTTCATTGTTTTCTTCTCCTATCTTCTAATTCTTGAGTTTTTCCCAGAGATCTTTGTCTTACAGTTCTATCCAGATGTTCAGCCAAAGATGGAAGAGAGAGAGTTATGAGTTTTCCTTAACTCTTTCTGTCTCTGAGCTGCTGTATTTTTAAGCAGGAGATATCAGATTTTTGGGCTGTGAATAGCTGCCCCATAACCATCTTGAAACCATGGAGCAGGAAGGACATGTTATAATATGCAATATAACAGCCATTTAGGTTATTGTGATGCAGCAGAAAAAGGCTGAAAGAATACAAAATGAAAAAAAAGAAGGCAAAACATGAACAAATTTTAAAAATAACCTGTAATTGTAGCCATTGTGTCTACTCGCAGCTCAAGGCAATGTTTGATTGCAGCAACTCTTGCCCTAAAGTTGTATTAGCCACAGCAGGGATTTTCACAATAAAAATAAGACATGAAAATAAATAGCAAACCTCGTCTGCAAACCTCTGTGATCGATTGAACCACATTTGGCTCTTCTGTGATGGTTGTTACATTTACAGGCTGGGCTTTAAAATTACTAATGACATTGATTTAATGCCTCTTTTCTTCCTGGAAAAATGAAGTTAATAATTACCAACATGGTGTGAGCCAATGCTTTCTTCTATTTTTTTTTTGCCCTACAGTTACCACTCTCCTCTTTTTTTTCCCCTCATCTGTCAAACACTCAGCATTCATAATAATGTTGTGTTCTTCTTCAGCCAAGGTCACAAAACTCTTTGTGGGGGCTAATGGATGAGGCTTCCCAGTGCTGAGAGATGCTGAGCTGATCGGTGGGGAATGCAAGGGTGATAATGTGACAGACTGTAATTAATATATTCAAACATATTTGTGATATTGGACCTACTTTTTTATGGCAGTTAGTTTAGGTTTTTTTTGTTTTTTTTTCTCCTTAGGTTTATCAAGGCTTACAAGAAGTTTGGATTGCCTCTTGAACGGTGAGTCCCAGCCTGGCCCTGCTCCAGAGGGGAATCATGGAGGCACATTGTACTTCTGAGCACAGCCAGGCACACACTGCTCTGGGTGTTTGACACAACCTCCACACACAGCACCAGCCTTTCTGTCCTGCCATCAGACCCCAAGCACTGCTGTACAGTCCCTGATGTCTCTGTTGATGGGCACTGATGAATGGTGGCTAAAAACCAGCTGGAGCTGTTGTGGCTCCAGGCTGTGACACAGCAGTGTCCTGCTGGCACAGTCTGCCCCTTGGGGCATTGCCACTCTGCCCAGAAAGGAGAGGGAACAGCTGTCAGAGCAGCAAATGTTACCCAAAATGCTTGCCAAGCTTCTCTATGCACGTAAGCCTCAGGACTGATTTTGGAGCATCTTTCCATCCTCTGTCCCTCCTGAACGGAAGCAAAGAGAGGCACCATCCTCAAACGTGGATCTGCAGAGCCCTGGCCCTGTGCTGGCTCTGGAAAGGTCTCAGGGCTGAGGCAGAGGTTCCTGAATGTATTTATTGTAGTTCAGTGCTTTTTCAGCTGGTTCTACTCTTCTGGTATGAAACACAAGGCTTGTGTGTGAGTCTTGATGTTACTGACTTCAGGTAGGCAAAAGGGACAGCAGATGGCAGCTTTGGACCATCAAATGGAGTTAATGTGGACCTGGAAAAGCCTGAGGGAATACTGGACAGTCATGGAGGGTCCCTGTTGTCCCCAAGATAGAAAGTTCTCACCTTTGCTTTGGTACTAAAAAATCCAGAGGATTGGATCAGTTTCTCTACATCTGCGCTGCAGCTGTTAGACCAAAAAAAAGACAAAAACTGGGTTGTTTCCTGCATGAACTCGTGCAATTTTCATACATTCATATTTGTACAGCACTGAGTGAAACAATTGAATAAGAAATGACTGAGAGAAGATATGCAGCCTGAAACACAAAACTCTCTGTGTTTCCCAGGTTGGAGTGCATTGCCCGGGATGCTGAGCTGGTGGATAAGTCTGTGGCTGACCTGAAGCGGTTAGGGGAGCTCATCCACAACAGCTGTGTGTCAGCAATGCAGGAGTATGAGGAGCAGCTGAAGGAAAATCCAGCGGAAGGTAGGTTGTGTGCTGTGTTAGGATGGTTTTGGGAGTGTTCCATGGAGCTTGTGAGGGAACCATCCCCATGCTGGACAGGGAGGCCACATTGTGACTGAGAACCAATGAACAAGAACACACAAACCACCCCATCTCTGCCAGGCAGCTCTCACCCACAGAGAGGAGCCCCTGAGCTTTCTGCTCAGTGCCTCTTGGGTCTGTCAACTTCTGCTGGACATGAGTTTTTGGGTGGAGAGGCTGAAGTGACCAGCTTATTGAATGCTGGGCCACAAAGCAAAGCAGATCTTATTTTAACTGCTCCTGGGACTGGAAATCAAACTGGTGCTGTGTACTCCACAGTAGAGCTGGATCCACAGTTAGCAATTCCCAGAGCTGGAATCACCACCCACTCTCTGTCTGGCTATTCTTTGCTGTTTGTTTGGACATACAGAGTCAGGGATGGATTTCCTGCTGGGTCTCTGCCTGTTGCAGCTGACCAAGACTGCAGAATCAATAGCTCCAGCGTACTTGGAAGTATTTTTAAGAAAATTATACTGGGAGGTGTTTAGATTGCAGATCTAATTGAGTTAATGGAAGAAAACTTATATTTTGGGACTTATGTTTAAATAAGAGGTTGCAGACAAGGTCTTTATCAATGTCTGTGAAGCCATTTTACAGAGACACTTCCTTCTGTAAGAGCTCTCTTAATTGCTGTGTTTTATTGCTGAGCAGGGAAAGGACCTGGGAAGAGACGAGGTCCTACCATCAAGATTTCTGGTGTCCAAGTCAACGTGAAATCCATCATCCAGCATGAAGAGGAGTTTGAAATGCTGCACAAATCCATTCCCTCGGACCCAGAGGAGAGGAAGAAGTGAGTTTGGCTAAGTAGGCAATGCAGAAAGAGGCTCAGGGAATTTGGATTTTGTAGTGGAAAGAGAATAGCCTGGATGTGTGGATTTGCTTTATCCTCCACAGCATTAAAAGTAGCTCGTGTTTGAAATGCCTTTAGGTACCGCCTGACGTGCCGTGTCAAAGCTGCTCATTTTGATGTAGACTGGGGAGTGGAGGAGGATTCTCGCTTGTTAGTGGGAATTTACGAGCATGGTTATGGAAACTGGGAGCTAATTAAAACAGATCCGGAGTTGAAGTTATCTGATAAGGTAGGTTGCTTTGCTTGGTGCTTCCATTGGGTCCATTGCAGTACTCATAGCAAACATGCCTCATTTACTCCAGAAACAGATGATTGTGCTTGTAACTACTCCAAAAATAATGATAAATAATAATGAGGAAAACAGTGACCTTCATGGAATGTTGCATGCTCGATGGAAAAAGCAGAGTTGTGTCATTTGGTAGGCAGTACCAGGTGAACCACACTGAAGTGATGCAGGCAGGAAATGGCAGTGCTGACATGTGTGGTTCCATGCACAGAATAGAAGAGGCTGTGATGTGATGTTTCCTTGAGCATCTCACAAGAAGCTGAGTGTGAATTTCTGAGTGGAAATAATTTTTCACAGATTTGACACTGCTCATGTCAAGGCTGGTCTGTGTTAGCTTTGAGGGTATGGTTACATGACTGGGAATGGCAGCACAGCCAGCTGGAAAGCCTCCATCTAGTTCCTCTGTTCCTCAGTCAGCCCCACAAGAACAGTTTACAGGCACCATGTTGAAATGATCTGGGTTAAAAATAATCCACCATCCGTTGTGTCAGTATGGTGGAAAGAGGGTGGAAAGAGTGTGGAAAGTGCAGCACAGGGCTGAGGAGCACTGGGAATCTCCACACCAGCTTTGCTGCCAGCATGCAGCATTCCTGTGACATCCCTGCTGGTGCTTCTAGCAAAGATCAGGCTCTGCCTCAGAGCCCTGCATGTGTGGAGCTCACAAAGGCATTTTGCAATGGAAACAGCTGCTGAGACATGCCACCCATTTTCCAGTGAAGTATGAAGCAAACCTAGCAAATCTAGCAAGCTGAGATATTTCCTCCACAAAGTGTCACCTTTCAGCCTTGTTTTCCACTAAAAATTGTGCATCTGTGCCCCTGCTGTAGCGATGTCTCAGGTTACCACAGTGACTGGGCTGCTGTGACCAAGCTGTCACAAACAAATCTCAAGTGTCAAGGCCAGTGGACTCAGTTTTGCAACTCGAGGTCCCAAATATAACTTGTAAAGGATTTTTTTCCTTCGAGAGAACTTAGCAAGCTTGCAAGGCTTAGCAAGCCTTGGGATCCTTTAACTTCTGCAGGATTCCAAGGGGAGGGATGCTTGCTTGCTAGGAGCTTTGCCTTTGGCCAGATAGGGACAGTCTGAGAGGGGGAAGGAAGGCTTGAGCCTTCTTGTTCCCCCAGAAGGTGCAGCATCTGCTGCCCTTTGCTGGGCCTGGAAGGGCAGCTGCTAATGTGTAAGTCTGTTGTCAAGCTTTGTGCATATGGGTATATGTATTTTTTTTTTCTGCTTTATCAAAGATCCTACCTGTTGAGACAGATAAGAAACCTCAGGGAAAACAGCTTCAAACCCGAGTTGATTATCTACTGAAACTGCTGAAAAAAGATCTGGACAAGAAAGAAAACATGAAAGATGGGGAAGAGGTGAGATGTGGGTGCTTGATTTTGGGGGTTTCAGGGGGAGTGGTTGGAGACACCCTGTGTTCTCAGGTCACCAGACTTCATTTCTGTGAAGGAGTATGGACTTCTCTGTTGTCTGATTGCATTGTGATGTTTCTCATTTAAATGATAATAAATAAGGGGCAGGTTATTACTGCACTTACTGAAGGATTTGGGCTCGTCAGACTTCCTGCCAGCTTGTAGGACCTGCAGCTGTTTGCACAATGTTCAGGAGATGGGAAATGTCCCCAGGAAGTAGCTGTAGCTATTTGCTTTCCCTGACTTGTTCTGTTTTTACCAGGGCAAGCTAAAGAAGAGGAAACCACGAGTAAAGAAAGAGAACAAGGCTCCCAAAGTCAAAGATGAGCATGGGAATGAACTCTCCTCTCCTCGGCACTCTGACAACCAGTCAGAAGAAGGTGAAGTCAAGGTGAGTCAGCCTTGCTGAGCAGTGGCTTTTCCAGGTTTCCTTGGGCTGTTGCTGCCCAAGCTTACCTTGGGAAACATTCCCAGCAAAGCCCCCAGGAGTCAGAGGCACTAAGAGCAAATTCCCACACGATTGCAAACTCACCAAACCACCCATACAGCCATTGGTGTGAAAGAAGGACCTTTCCCACCTATTCTTTTAGGTCAGTGCTTTAAGGGATTTGGGGCATCCCAGAATGGCCACAAACATCCACATATTGACTCAGGGGAAAGGTTGTCTCAGGACAAAGCCTGTTGCCCTTATAAAGGAGAGAAAGAAGAATTGTTTCCCTCTCCTTTTGAGCATGTCAGCCCGTGGTGAAGCTGGAGTTTACCAAGGTCATGCTGTTACTTAGAAAATGTTCAGTCTTTGAGTGGTTTGGCTTGTAGTCTGAAGCTTTTTGTTCGTGTGCTGATCAGTATCTACCTCAGGGGCTGAGTGTTCTGGAGCACAGCTGGCACAGGAGAGCAGGGCTGCTCTGCAGCTTGCCAGCTTGTCACAGAGTGGAGCTGGTCTGGTTTTCATACCCTTTTGTCACGTTTAGGGGGATGGCAGCTGCTTGAGCAGGGCTTGATGTCTGCTTAAAGAGGTGTGAGGGTAAATCTGGATGAACCTCAAAAGTTGCCTGTGTTTTAAGGATGTTTTATGGAAGAAAATGTACATGAGGTGAGGGACTCCAACTTTGTGCTGTGACTGATGTTCTAGGAGGATGGCTTGGACAAGAGCCCAGTAAAAAAGAAACAAAAGAAGAAAGAGAACAAAGAGAACAAGGAAAAACAGACATCCTCTAAGAAAGAAAAGGAAAGCGATAAAGAGAAAAAGAAGACAAAAGACAAGAAAGAGAAGGTATGTGGAACTTTCAGGAACAGCTTGATAGGGAAGTCCCTGAGCAGGACAAACTGTAAGACTTAGTATTTATTAAAGGCCCTGTGTGAAGAGACATCAGTGAAGCACCGTGGGGTGAGGGGCTATCTCTTTTTCAGCCCTTCTGAATTGCCATAAAAAGAAAAGGCAATATATGTCCTAAAGCCTCATGGAATGTGATCAAAACGGAAGAGATTTTGTCAGATTGCCTTTAAAGCAATGGATATGGCCACAGAGCTGATGTTAAGGAAGAACAGAGAAAGAGCCTGGAGCACTCAGATCAAAGTTCTGTCCAGTTGTGATTTATCACAGGCTTGGCAGCTCCTTGTCTGTATTTCCCTTTAATTTAAACTCACCCAAATGACCCAAGTGTCCGCACCATGAAGACTGTAAGTTGTCATTGTCACTGTTCAGGACTCAACAGAATGAGTATTTCAACATCACTGGTATGCTGGAGACTCAAATGTCTCTTGAATTTTGGGTACAACTGCCCTGAGGCTGGGTGCAAATTGGAAGGGGGGTAAAAGCTTCCATAATAATGACCTGAAGTACCTGTCCAAGGAACAGGTATATACTGCATGCCCAGTGTATTTTGACATTGAGGTCACAAGTGCAAACTAAGTTTTGTTGCCTATGTAGGGGAAAGTTTGCTTTCCAGTGATTTTTGGTATGGCTTTGACTGTAAATAATATATGACTGTAAGTCATATAGGTAAAAATGTACATGAACAGGGCATGATTTGAGAACTAGTGATATCACATAAAGTTGCAGATCCTTGTACACATGAGACTACCCTGAGCTCTGTCCTTTGCAAGGGAGAGATACTGTTTGTTTTAACCTCTCTTCCAAGTCTTCAACACTGGTTTCTCCCCATGAGTGTGAATATCGTATTTGTGTCCAAACTGTTGGCTCTGACTTCTCCCTGCTCCCTCAGGGATGACGTAAAGCTAAACAGAGCCATTGCAGCTCAACAGTTGGAGGTTTTGGGAGGAAAGTTGTAGGAACAGTGCCCAGGTTTAGCAACTGCCAGTAACAATAGTGTGGAGGTTGTTAGTTGGGTCACTTGGGATCCTCCATTCTGGCTCATTGTGAGATGTGTGTAATTTGTCCTTGTAAAGCCTAAAGGTGGCGAGGCCAAATCTGGGAGTAAAGGGAAGAGATCGCAAGGTCCCGTCCACATCACTGCAGGGAGCGAGCCAATCCCCATTGGAGAAGATGAGGATGATGATCTGGACCAAGAAACATTCAGCATAGTGAGTATTTTCCTTGGGAAATGGGAGGGCAGTGCCCAGAGCCCAGCGAGGCAGCCAAGGTTTGCTCAGATGTCATCCAAGGACGTGTTTTAGGTGTTGGGGTGTGAACCCCCTCCTAGTGCCCCACAGGGGTTTCCTCTGGCTGATCTGAGAGCAGGGCAAGACAACCCTGGACAAGAGCTGCCCACCAGTGCTGCCAGCAGAGCATGCACAAGGGCTCTCTGCTTCACCTGGTGACTTCCCACTGCTCAGCTGGCAGCCCTGGCTTACAGAAAACCCTGCAGCCTTACATTCCCTCTCCTGTAGAAGGCAAGGAGCCACTGAAGCTCTTTCAGGCAAGGAAATGCAGGAGAGTTTTGAGGGTGAACTTGTAGGAGGTGCTGAGCTGTGTAAGTGCTCTCACAGCAAACATGCCCACAAGGCTCATTGTAAAAATTGCCTTTTAGTAAAAGTTGTCATGGCAGATTCTCCTTGGCTGAATAACACTTTTTAAAAGCAGTTCTCTCAATGAAAATCTCTGTATTTGCTACAAATCCTGTGAGGATTTATGTCTTTTTCTTTAACTTTCCTTCTGTGATGCACAAAAGATCCAGGCAGGCAGTCAAAAAACCTGTCTGATTTCCTATCTGGGTGCGGTGTTGATGTGCCCAGGCTGAAAAACATGGTGCTTTCATCTCATGTCTGTCAGTTTTGGTAAAAGCAAGCATTAAAGTGACCAGAGATGGGATTGGACAGGATTGAGTTGAGCAGTCTGTCAGGTGGGGTGGCTGGTTCAGTGTGTGGATGCTTGGATAAACTTCCCTGCCTGCCACAGGATCCGTGCAGGGGCAGACCATGTGTGGTTACTGATTGCAAAGCAAATTGTTTCCCCCTAAAAGGCAGGGGGAATGGGGGTGGGGAGACTTGTCTTTTACTGATTATTGTCTGCAGCTTGTCTAACAATTTGCTATTTAATAGCTGATTTCTCCTTGCCTAATGGGCAGATAAAGCTAAACGAGCTTCTTTTCAATTAACAGGGCAATGACGTAGAGCCCTCTGCCAAATTAATCACTTTCTCCTCTCTATTGCTCTTTCAAGTGCAAGGAAAGGATGAGACCAGTCAAAAAAGCACTGAAGCAACTTGATAAGCCTGATAAGGGACTGACAGTTCAGGAACAGCTGGAGCACACGCGCAACTGCCTCCTAAAAATTGGTGATCGCATCTCTGAGTGCCTTAAAGCCTACACTGACCAGGATCACATCAAGCTATGGAGAAGGTGAGGGATCATTTTGTTTTCCCTAGCTGATCTAGGATATTTTGAAATGGTAGTCAGAGGCTGCTGTTTTTTCTTTGGATGGATGTGCCATTTGCCTCTTACTTAACCCATGAAATCTTGTGTTTTCTGCTCCACTCAATCTACAGAATCATAGAATCATGGAATGGTTTGGGTTGGGAGGAACCTTAAATATCACCCAGTTCCAACCCCCTGCCATGGGCAGGGACACAGTTCACTAGACCAAGTTGCTCAGAGCCCCATTCAGCCTGAACCTTGAACACATCCAGGGATGGTCTTCCATGACCAGTCCTGGGCAAGTGTTTTGTCTTCAAGTTGTCCTGATTTCATTAAAATTGATTTCAAAGCTAAGTCACATAAACCACTGCAAACCTCTTTATTTTACTTGGAAGAGCATGCTTCCAGCCCTCCTGATCATCCTGTCCTAAGCTGAGACTGTTTTCCAGAGAGGGTAGAATGAATATGATGTTGGTTTGGAAGCTGTTGGCAGTTAAACTGCTGCTGTAGCATTTAACAGAAAATGTTCATGTCCTTCTAGGAACCTATGGATATTTGTGTCAAAATTCACAGAATTTGATGCCAGAAAACTACACAAACTCTACAAGATGGCTCATAAGAAAAGATCACAGGAAGAGGAGGTGAGAGCTGAAGTGCTTTCCCTTTGATTTCTGTCCTTAAATGTTGCTGCACTGGAAGTGCCAATTCTTTCTGCCTCTTACCATGTGTGTTCTTTGTTGTTATTGGCAGTGCGTGATTTTTCTCAACATCTAAACAGTCTGATTGCATTTGCCTTCTTTTTCATGTGGCATTTCTGGTCACTTTGTCCTGGCTCTTCTGACCAAGCAAAAGCATTTTTTGGTGTGGCATGTGATGTTCAGTTGCTCTGTGGAGTGAAAAGCCTGGGCATGCTGCCCTGTAGAGATCAGGTGTAGAAGCAGAGCTGCCAAACTGTGCCTGCCCTCCACCACGTTTGTGCCGTTCTTGAGCACAGAGAGTTGGCTCTCCAGGTCCTCAAAGAGGAAAATCCAGAGCCTGGCAGACAAGGCCATTGCTCACAGTCAGGATCTTTTGGTAGGAGAGCAGCTGAGCTGTATGCCTCTGTTCCACCTTGCAGGAGCAGAAGAAGAAGGAGGACATGTCCAGCATGAAGAAGCCGTTCCGCCCAGAGCCCTCCGGCTCCAGCCGTGATTCCGTGATGTCCCAGTCTCACGTGCCTCACAATCCTCACTCCCAGAAGATGCACATGCCCCCTTCCCACACCCAGCAGCAGATGCACGGCCACCCACGGGACAACTATGGCCATCCAAACAAGAGACATTTCAGCAACACAGGTGAGCACTGGCAAGCCAGGAGAAACCTTCCCTTCTGACCTGATGCTCCTGGACACAAATCCTCTGGGACTTGTGACTGGTCAGGTTGAAAGGTGGTGGTGATGCCTTGGGTTTTAGCTTTTATAGTTTTCAGAATCTCTGCTGCTTAGTGTGTAACTCTGAAACTTCACTTTAGGTGTTAGTAAGTTCTCTTCACAGGGTAGTTAGACAAAACAATTCCTTTCTAGCTAGAGAATCAAAGACATCCGTTACCCAAAAAGCAGAAACAACAGTGAGGGAAAGGAGGAAAGCCAAGGGGCTGATACTTCATAGCCTGGGGCTGTGTTTGGACAATTAACCCCAATATGTAGATGAACCAAAACTTATAAAAGTGTAAAAACTTGTGATTGAGATCCATCTTGGATTTGATTTGGGTGTAGCTCCGGCCAGGCTCTTGCACTGCCCAAGGTGTATCCTTTCAATAAATACCTATTTTATTCATTTTGCTCTGTCTAGTCTTGGTTCCAGGTCAGCCTTTCCAGGTAACAGTTTGATAGAATATACACTACCACTATACTTACTGCTGGACTAGGAAACATGGTGATGTAGTGAGGAAAAGAATGTAAGAATGGGACAGAATTGCATTTGAGAGGATCATAAAGAAATAGTGAGAAAAAAAAATTCAAAGAATGAAGTTGGGCCCACATAGTTCAGGGAGGAGAAGGTTAAAGGGGCATCAATAGCTATTATTTCTTGGAAAGTTCAGGAAGTAAATGGGGTTAAACCAAAGCATGAAGGAGACTCAGAGGTGCTCTTTGCTCATGGCAGACCGAGGAGACTGGCAGAGGGATCGAAAGTTCAACTACGGTGGCAACAGCAACCAGATGTGGGGCGGGGAGCGGCACCACCAGTACGAGCAGCACTGGTACAAGGACCACCACTACGGGGACCGGCGTTCCCGGGGGGATCCCCACCGGAGCTCGGGGAACTACAGACCAAACAACCTGTCCCGAAAGAGGCCCTACGAGCAGTACAACAGCGACCGGGACCACCGGGGCCACCGCGACTACTACGACAGGTGAGGGGCTGCCCTCGCTCAGGGGGCTGGGGGATGTGGGTGAGCATTGCTGGCCGCACAGCCCGGGTTTGGGGAGCTGATCTCCGTCCGGTTTTCCTCTCCACAGGCACCACCACGATTCCAAACGTCGACGGTCCGACGACTTCAGGCCTCAGAACTACCACCAGCAGGATTTCCGGAGGATGTCTGACCACAGGCCACCACCCATGGGGTACCATGGCCAAGGACCTTCGGACCACTACCGGTCCTTCCACACGGACAAACTGGGAGATTACAAACAGCCCCTCCCTCCATCTCACCCTGGCGTGTCGGACCCTCGCTCGCCCCCCTCTCAGAAATCCCCCCACGATTCCAAGTCACCTCTTGATCACAGGTCACCTCTGGATAGGTCGTTGGAACAGAAAAACAATCCAGATTATAACTGGAACATTCGGAAAGCATGAAGTGACTGAGAGGGGGAAGCCCACGTCTGAAATACTGGGATTGATGCGACGGTGGCTGCTTTCTCCAAGCCAGCAACGAGAAACTCTGAACATGCTGCTATCATCTGGCTGGGTCAAGGAAGATTTTGGGGGAGTGGGTGGAGGAAGATTTTCCCTAGTTCTTGATTCTGGTTTAGATTCCCATTTCCTTTCCCCTTTTTTACCATTGAACTGTTCTGTCATGGAACCAGCCTTGCTGCCTCGTTCTTTGTTTTGTTTTTGTTTTCCTCAGTCCAATGGACCCAAGGGAATTTTCCCCAGCCAGTGTTTCCTCAAAAGGAGAAGGCAGATCAATGCTGCTTAGGATGGTGCAGAAGGCTGTGTGCCTGCTCTGACTTGATGTTACATGACAGATGCTGCTTTGGGGTTGGGAATGGGATTTGTGTGTCACCAGCATGGGGTGATGGGAGGATATGTTCAAGGAGGGACAGGAAAGTCCCTCAGCAGCCAAACTTGGTTGAAAAAGGCACTTGATATCCCTGCAGAATAACTCCAAAGGAGCTGGAGCCATGCTGGTGACAATCCATCACTTTCCTGCCCATGTTATCATTTCCATGTCTTTATCCATTTCAAGAAACTGGCTCTGCTTTGATTGCTGTTGTATCCCCTGCAACAGAGGAGGTGGGGGGGATCTTCCTCTCATCTCCAGAGCTGGAACTGGCAAATCTTGACTCTGGGGGTGAGGGAGCTGGGTTATGGGAAAAAAAGGCCAACTTCTTTAGCAAAGGCTTAGTTCACTTCTAGCCAGCAGGAAAGAAATTGGGGTGAGAACAGTATTTCCCAGTGGACAAGGCTCAGAAATTCATAACAAAACACTTTTCTGGCATGGGTAGCTTGGGTGGTCCAGGAACTAATAGATGCTGGCTGAGAGGTGCAGGATCAACAGATGGCTCTGGGGATCCTGAACTCCTAATCTTCCTGCCACTAAAGTCTCTGGGCAAATCATTTCTTTCTGCGCTTCACAAAGCAGTGATCACAAACCTTTACTGTAACCGAAGGATAATGGATGGTAGAGCAAAGTGAAATAGGAATCCAGTGGAGTGATCACTGTTCAGGGAATGGTCACCTTCCTGCCACCTTTCCAGCAGTCAGGAATGACTAAATTGCTAAGAGTACCGGCACTTACAGACCTTTTGTTTGTCTAAATTGGAAATGAGCCTGAGGACTTAGCACCTCAGTGAGCAGGGAGAGAATGAGGAATTCAGGACTGATCTGTAAAGATCCTTGGAGCAAATGTCTTAGAGCCCAGCATGGCAGAGGGAAAATCTGCAGCCCAGCTCAGTGGACTTCAGGGCAAACCCTCCAAGTATTCAAACCACAGCATTTAATGTAAACCAGCATCTGGCCTGGACACTGGTGTGGTGAGAGGGGTTGATTGTGCACATACTGCTGGCCAGAAGCACTTTGGGTGATTATTTTTCAGGCTGGAGTTCCCTGGAGACCACTAAGCTCTCCCAAGAGCCAGGCTTCCCCCAGCGTGGAGTCTGGGGCTGCATCATCACCCAGAGCTCAGTATTAAAGACCTGGCTGTTCCAGACTCCTGTTTGGTGGGGCACAGAAGCTGGGCCTCCTATTAAAATGCCAGTATTTGACCCTAATAAGCTGTGATATCCCTTCCCCAAAAGACTGAGGGCGGATGGGTGTTCAGGGCTGGCTTCCTGACTCCAGCCAGTGCCTTGGAAGGTGCATGCAAACTGACACTAAAACTCCTCCATGCAGTATATCCCTGGAAATCTGCTGCCATCACTCCTCCGGATCCCGCTGCTCCAACGGGACACACGGGAAGTGTTTTGTTCCCCTTTTGCTTTTATATTGCAAGATTTCCACCAAATTCAGGGCAGTTTTGTTTCCTTAGGGGCACTTGCTGCCCTGATCAAGTGTTACACTTGTGTTTACCTGTGCAGGGCGAGGTGAAGGCAAGTCTTCCACAGTCCCCTGGGAGGGGTGGGAGGTGTGGAGAGAGCACGTTTCTGTGGCTTTTCCCACTAAGCTGTGATTGCAGGCTGTGGTATTCAACAAAGAGGTCCTTTCTTTTCAGAGGTATTAGCTTTTAATGTGAAAATGGAAGCAACCTCGGAGGGGCAAAGAGAATTGCTCTTTTTGTCACGGTGGGAAGTCGGTGCCATACTCGTGTAGCAAAGGCAATACTGGCCAACCAGGGTGAGGGTTGGTGCAGGAAAACTTTGGGTCCCAGCAAGAGGCATTTTCTTTGTTGAGGGGGGTTTCTGCTTATCCCAGGTTCCAGGCACGAGGTTGGTTGGGATTTCCTTCTTGTGCAACAGCAAAAGCTTTACCCATATCCACTGGAGAGTTGTCCCCACTGTCACTTTAGCCTGGTGTTGAAGTCACATTATGTCCACTCGTGGTGGGTGGGTCTTTGCTGGGTTTGGCTTTAGTGAAGCTGGAGATTTGGGAGAAAGTCTTCCCTGAGCACACACAGACACACTTATGCATTTTATGTCCCCTCAGCATAGGGACCATAACCAAACACAATCACGGGGACATGAGTGGGATCAGAGGGGACACATCCACAGCCATAAACTTCTCTGTGGTGTTTGTGTCAGCATCTGGTACAGTTCTTCCTTCCAAACCAGCTGTGGGATTCCCTCCAGTCTCTGCAGGAAAAAGCAGTAACTTGCTGGGGTTCAATTTAAAAAAAAAAAAAAAAAAGTGTTTCAGCTTGACCTCTTTGGAAATGGTGTAAAGTTACGAGTTCACATGGTGGAAATCCTGCAGACCAAAACCTGCTGTGGGGACAGGCGATGTGGTCCCAACCAAAATGGACACAGAACCGAGTGCTGAGGTCTTTGTGTGAATGGTTTGTGATCCACACAAAAATATTATTCTGCTTTCACCCATTTCCTCCCCACCTCTGCCTCCCCTCTGGGGAGAGAGAAGGACTCTTACTGTAAAAATACGGACTTTTAAACCTGTTGACTAAAAACAGTAATTAATATTAATTTATATTTGTGAAAGAAATGCCACTGTCCTAGTGATTTCTGATGTAAATATGTTGTTTATATAGTATGTATGAAATTTTCCTACATTGTAAAACTGCTGTACTTTTGATTCTTGTATATTAAAAAGTGTTACTGAGATTTTCAGAAGGGCCCCAGCGTGGTGCCTCTGGGGGAGTCCTGTGGCAGCTCTGGGGGCTGGTTTGGGATGACAGGGCCCTTTCCTGCCCGCCTCGTGGATATTTGCACTGTGCAGGAATAACCATGTTCTGCTTGGCTGTTTTTATACAGTTTCACAGTCTGTGGTGATAAAGACTTGGAAGCCTTTTCAGATGGGAATTTCCACCTGATCAGGAGCTGTACATTCTCTAACCCAGAGCCCCCAGGATTTCACTGGGATGATACTGATGATTATGTGTTTATCCCACCTCCACATTTTAAGGATCTCTGAGGATGTGTGAATTTCTTTTTTATCTTTTCTGGGGAGAACTCCCCTTTCTCTAGGAGAAGGGTTGCTCCTGCTACATCAGTGAGTTCTCCTCTGTCCCCAGCCCCTCCTGGGCAGGATGTGCCTCTCCCCAGGTGGGATGTGATGGCAGCCAGTGGCTGCTTTGGTCTTTACCCTCCACTGCTCACACTGAGGCCCACACGACAGGACATGGAGCAGGGATTGGAGCCATTTCTCCCAAGTTATAAAAGCTCATTGTGAAAAGCACTTTTCACACCTGTAGCCACTGGGTCCAGCCCTTCCCAGTCTCTCTGCTGCTGAGCCAAGTTTCAGTCAAGAGTGAAATTTCACAGCTGAGTTATATGCTCCTGAAAAATGGATTTCCTAATGGAAAGAGTGACTGGCTGTTAGCCATGGGGCTCAGCAGGGAGAGGGGCTCAGCTGCAGGGAGGCACAGGGGCTGCAGGGAGCTGGGCTAGGTGTTACATGCCTGGGTGAATCTACTTGAGGCCAGTGACTTTCAATATTTTTTTACTTTTTTTTTATTGAAGAAGGCAGGTAAGGATGTGGGCACCCTGATACCAGGTGTTTCCCCAGCACAGCTCAGCCCAGCAGCTCCCTGCCCACCCACGTCCACAGCACCACACTGAGAACAGTTCAATCCTAAGGCCTTCTCAAAATGGATGAGGAAATGACCCCTTCCCACCTGTCCATGCCAGGCAGGTCTGCTCAGTCCCACAGGAAGGTATCATCCACCAGGACATGGTCCATGCAAAGCCATGTGCTGGCACAAGGAGCAGGACCCCCATCCCTGCCTTGCACCCACCCCAGTGAGGGGACAGGGCTGTGCTTTATAGTGGGGCAGACCCTCTAGAGGGCAGCCAGTTCCCAGCAAAAAGCCAGTTTTTGGTGAACATCAACATTCTGCAGTTGTGGCTGCTCCTGGACAGCCAGTCCTGGCTCACCCTGAGCAGTCAGGTGTGTCAGAGTCCAAGACAGTGGCCAAAGGCCAGGGGATGGGCAGGCACAGCCAGAGTGGGACTGGAAACCCACCCCAGACCCCAGGTGGTGGCACTTGAGCTGTTGCCCATCACAGAGTGATTGGATGGGACCTCTCACCAGCCCTGAACCTGTTCTGGAGAGCAATTTGAACCTCTCCCAGGTGCCACAGGGCCACCACTGCCACCACCAATGTCCCTGCACTGCCTGTGCCTTCCCCAGTTAGCTCCCGGGGATGCTTTGCTGCCTTGTGTGGTTAATGGGGACAGGGCATCCTTGTGCCTCGGGGGTCACCATTCCCTCACATCAGCGCCCTGTCCCACTGGAACATGCAGGTGCTGCCTGCTCACTGTCCCAGGCTGGACAGCAGGGGACCATTGGTGACCTCCTGGCAGAACAGTCAGTGAGGGACACCCCTGGCCCTGCACTCTGGGCACTTTGTAGATGAGTTTTCAGGTTTAGCCATTTGAGATTTAGCCGTTTCATATGGCTGAACCTGAGCCCTGTGCAAGGAGTGGCAGAGGGAGTGGATTTGGCTCTTTTCAAATGTTGCCAGTTCTCTGGGCTTTGAAGGAGGGGAAAGTCACATCTCTGGTGCTGGGCATCGCTGCATGGATTCACCCAAATAACGTGTGTTTTGAGTTGGTGTGAGTGTCCCACCTGCCCTCAGCATCTCCCTGTCCCCAGCTGCTGTGACAATGAGTCCATTCAGATTTCAAAACCGGAAAATTTAAAATGCAATTTTGTTTTTCCTCATTAGAGGGCAGCAACAAACCCAGCTGGGACAAGAGCTGGGACAAGGAGAGCTGCCCAACAAAAGGGAGATGAGGAATTACCATTACCAGGATGTACACCCCAATCTGCTGGGGTGAGCAGGGGAAGGGTGGTACCCACTCGGACTCCATCACTGCACATCTTCTTTCCCAGCGAGGCAAGGCTCTAATGGTTTATTATCTATATTTTCCCACCCATGCCCTTTTTAATTTTCTCATTTAATTTTCTCATTTCTCATAGATCGAACTCCAGAGTGAAATTCTCAGGAGAACTGAGGACAGAAATGATCTCTCAGAGGGTCCTTCAAGTGGAAGAAAGCTGCTTTGGCGTGAGTGCAGAAATGGGGCAACACTTGCATCCTGAGTGGGGAACAGCACCACACAACACACGGGGAACAAAGCGAGACCCACTCATTTATTGTCAAAAAAACCTCAAACTTTACTTGTGTTTCTCTCAATAAATAATTTACAGTATTTACAGGCGATGACACTCCCGTGGGTCTCAGCGCAGGGAGGAGGTGGGGGGACCTTTTCAGGATGCCCCCCCCTTGCCTATGGTTTTTTTTTTTGTTTTGTTTCCAAGTATCGGGTCCTTCTTGGCCACACTTCACCTTTAACCAGAACTGGGTCAAACACAACCAAAATAAAGTGCTTCACTGTTTGCTTATAAAATAGGGATACCCCAAGCACCTCGCCCCATCAGCCACTACTGGAGCACCCACCTGGACAGAGGGAATGAGCCATGCCATAACCAGACTTTCCTTGGATGGAAACTGTCCCTAAACCACAGCGTGTCCTGCCATGGGGTGATTGTTTTATAGGAAGGGGAGGCCTTAAGGGAATTATTGACCTGTTGGCACGCTGTGGCTGGGCAGCTCAGGCAGCTTTCAAGCAGCACTGTGTGCTGAGAGGGAGGCTGCACACAGCTGTATTTAGCTGTGGGGAAACCTCCTCTCTGCCCAGAGAGAGATTTTGGCTTTTAAAAGGTGTATTTTGAACTTCTGGAGAGGATAAAAATTTGTTTTCTCTAGAACAAAGGAAAGAGAAAGTCCAAATCAGCCTGGCTGAGCATTAGTGCATTGGGAAATGAAACTGTCCAGTGCAGTGGTCCAGTGGCTGCTCCCCTCAGCACCTCCAAACTGTGATATCCTTATTTCAAAATCTCCCTAAACAAAGTATCTGGGGCATCAGCAAACAAAGCAAGGAGCAAAGTAGTAAACACATCTTTTTGTTTCTTTTCTTTCCTTAAACATTTAAAAACCAATTACATCTTTTCATCTGTACAGTCACACGAGATCAATGCCAGGGCTCTATATATTAAAGAGACAATATAAATTACATCAATTGACACAAGTTTGCATTTCTCTGCTGCTTTACAAATGGAGCTCTAGAGCTGTAAGGACACAATGAATAGTCATGTTCAGTATTTACACCAGGCTGCCTCTTGGCACCAGTTCAGACTGCCAAACCAAGCCTGTTCCCACCTCTTTTGGTGCTAGCTTGTCTCATCACGCCCAGAGACCTCCCTTTTGAGAGCAGGAGGTGCCCCCGTGTGTGACGTGTTTAGGGGCTTGTTTGTGGGAACTTCCCCCTGAGGAAAGGTGGGGGAAACCCACCAGGAGGTCCTGAAGGCGCAGACCAAAGGTGGTCTTGATGTTTGTTCAGTGAGCGATGGGGTGAACCACAGAGGAACATGGAGTGGAGGAGATGGGCAGCACTACGTGGTGGGGGAAGGACATTATTGATGGTTTCGAGGCAAGGAACAGACATCTGGAGGCAGCTGGGGGGGTCCTCTGCTGCATCCCATCTCCTGGCTGAATTCTGATATTGCCCCATTTCTGATTCAAGCCCAAAAGGGCTTAAGGTGCAACTGGTCTGCAATGGGGTTGCAAGTCGCGGCCCCAGGATGGGGAGCAGAGCAGAGACCTAGCAGCAAAAAAAAAAGAGCACCACGCTCCTGCTCCATCCCAGGGCTGGGCCACAGACAGGGAGGGGCTGGAGGGAGGTGCAGGTCGGGTCTCCAACTGAGCAGCCACCCTGCTGCCAGTTTTAGGGGACCAGAGAGCGAATGGTGTGAGGAACTCATCCAATGCTGGGCAGAAGTTGCAGAAACCGCTTGAATACTGGCCAGGTTTCTCCCGCTGCCATCGAGAGTCCATGGTGGGTCAAGGCAGAGACAAGGGAGACAGGAGTAAAACTACTGAGTGAACCAGCCAGGTGAACTGGCTAAAATAGGGGATGCCTTTGAACCACAAAAAACGCAGGCCAAGGCTTGAGGAACATGTCCTCCATCCACCCAGAAGGTGCCTGGCACCAGCAGCCAAGCAAGCGTGGGATCACTGCCCACCATTTCTGCCCCTTGCACCACCTTCTGCAACAACAGGGCTGTGGGCAGAGCAGAATGTGCTGAAAAGCAGAGTCCAGCCCTGGTGAGCAGGACATCCTGCCCTGCTGTGCTGGCCAGGTTTGGTCCTGTCTCACTGCTCCATGCCCTTCTCGTGGGCTCTGCTCTCCGAAGACAAAGCCATGCTCACACACGCCAGTGTCACAGTCACCATGTGCACGGCTGGGACCAGGGGAGTGCTACAAGGACAGTAGCTACAAGGGTTCCCCAGCACCCACTCGACTGGGAGCAGGAGGAAGGGAAAGTGAGGAAGGTCCAGACAAGGTACAGTCCAGCAAAAACTCCTGGCTGGTCCCACTGGCAGCACATTCCTCCCAGGCAAGAGCTGGGAAGGTGGAGGACTTGCACCAAGAGAGAGACTGAGGTCTGAGGACAACCTATGTGGTTCTGATGTCCAACCTCTTGTTTTCCAACACCTGCATCTCATCCCTGGTTGCCTCCTGCTCCCCTTTCCCTTCTCTCCAACGTGTGAAGGAGCAAACCTCTATAACAAGCACAACCAACACAAACACAGCAGTGCTACCCAGAGGGTGGGATGTATTCCCGTGGGAGCCGCGTTGCCCGGGGTCAGGACCCGTGTCCTTTCATACAGGTGCAGCTTGTCTTTGTTGGAGTGAAGCATCTTCACGTCCTCAAAGGCATAGTAAGCAGCCAGCATGAAGTTGACATCCCCCGTGGTGAGGAGGTCGAAGACACAGGACTGGAAGTAGAGGTCCTCCACGGGCAGCTTTTCCCTGCACTTGGCCGTGGCCGTTTCGTAGGTGAAGGCCTCGGGGGGGGCCGGCAGGCTGGGCCCCTTCCTCCGGGCACGACCCTCCGTGGCCTGAGCCGAGCGGATGGCCTGGAAGTCAATCTGCTGGTTGAGTGGGCAACCACGGAGGCACAGGTAGAGGCCCTGACTGTCCCGGTCCTCCACGGCGTTGACCACCTCCTCCGGCATGCGCACGGCGAAGGTGAGGTACCGGCCCACCTGCCTCACCACGATGGTGGTGCCGATGTACTTGGCCTGGATCTCGATGTGCTGGCCCGACACCTTCTCTGTGATCTTCAGGCTGTTGGCTCCGTGCTTGTCCCCTCCGTTCTTGGAGCCGTCCACAAAGGCAGCGGGGAGCTCGTCCATCTCTGCCTGGTACACTTTCTGATCCACACACTCCTGGAAGCTCTTGAAGATGATGGTGAGCTGTAGGGGGAGGAAGGGAATGTGGTTACAGCCAGTGATGACCACCCGAGAGCACACAGCCACTGCCAGCACTGGGGTGGGAGGTGGAAGGGCTCAGTCCGGACAGGAGTGTGACCTTCAGCTCATGGGCACGTCCTTCATCCTAAGAAGTGGCCCTGACTTTTAGCCCTCAGACATGGTGATCCTGCTGCAGCAAAAGGGTGAGGACACTGTGTAGAGATGCAAGAACCCAGAGGCTTGACTGAATGCACCACCTGGAACTGCCTGTTATCTCCAGGCCCAGCACAGGAGCTTCCTTGCAGCTGGAGCTGGGTGGAGTATCCCTGCTCACAGGCCTGTGGCAGCATGCCCGTGCACGCAGCACTGCCTTGCCTCCAGGGCTGGCAGATGGCAGCAGGGACGAGCCCTGACTCCCTTGGAGGCGGTGGAGCTTCTCCTCTGACTCCCATGACATTTACATCCCAAGGGCTGGACCAATTTGTTTCCCTAACCAATTGCAGACCGACAAGATTTCTCCCATGGGCCCTCAAACATGTCCTACTCCATCTCAGCCCCACAGGCACACATGTGTTCAGCCTGTTCCAGTGGAGTGGCCCTTCTAGGGATGACTTCCTGGTGGCCTTGGCAGTGCTGTGTTAACGGCTGGACTTGATCTTAAGAGGTTTTTTCCCAACCTTAATGATTCTGTGGTTCTGTGACACAAACACAGTCCAACATGCCTCCTCACCCCTGGCTAGCTCAAACACAGGCCCCTTGCCAGGGAAGGACCTCACAGTGCTTGCTCTTCCCTTGCTGGCCTGGCTTTTGGAGGGAAGACCTGGGGAGGAAAATGAGTAGAATTTGCAAGTACAAACAGTATAAACTGTTTCCTCTTTCAGCTCTTGCACCTTTCTGCCCATGGGAGAAAAGTGGCAAAGGGGACCTCCTGCCACATGGGCCCCATGAAGGGGGAGACTGAGACCTGGCCAGAGCAGGGTGGGGCTGCAGAAGAGAGCAGAGAACAAAGAGCCCCAAGGATGGAGCACTCCCATCCTTTCCAGCAGCACAGTGCCCACAGCAGTGCTTCCCACAGCTCATGCTGCAGATCTCATGACTAATCCCTCTAACCACAAGCCTCTGAGGCAGATATGAAGAGAAAAGGCTCAATTAAGATGATGATCCCACGATCCCAGCAGGTCCTGGGATCCTTAAGGACCACTTTCCTCAAGCCAGACTTCCTTGCATGCTTTAGCAGGTTTTGATGTCTTTTAGCAGGTAAGGACATCAAAGCATCATTAGGAAAGTTTACCTGGGATAGGTCAGAACCTCAATGCTAGTTCCAGCCCAGGATAAACGGGTGACATCCAGAGCAGAGGAGCAGCCCCTGTCCTACACGTGCTTCTCTCCTCTCCCCACACACAGCGAGAAGCAGAACTCCCAGACACAGAGGGAAAGGACATTTTCCAAAAGCAAGAGGATGCCTCCTGCTGAGCCTCCCTTTTTCTTTGGCACAAAAAGTGACCTATTAGCTTTAGAGCTTATGCACCAGGGGCAGCCCACCATTCCCCCAGCTCCAGGTCCCTCCTGAAGCTGGGGCTGTGACACACAAGTCCTGCTTGTATCACAGCAGCACATTTTCACTTGGACTCTCTGTGTTTGCCTCGTACCTTCAGGATGTTTATTTAGTCTGTCAAAGCACCTCCAGAACAGACTGTTCCCCACAAAATGGCTTGACTTGGCTGCAAACCACAGAGACAATTACAAGCCTGGGTAGAGGGGAAGGCAGTATGAGGAGCTCAGCTCCTTCCAGGCTTTTCCTGCAAACTGGAGCCTCCCTGGAGGGCAGTACTGGGTTTGCTCGGGCCTTGGGGGTCTCCCAGGAGATGCCAGCATCATTCTTGATCTGGCTGTTCACAGCAATGTGGAGTCCCAGGCTGGGAGTCCTCTTAATTTGTAGTACCTGGCTTGGCCATGAAGGCCCCCTGAGGTGCAGCACCTCAGCCTGCTCACCGTGACGGGGCTGGATGTGCTCAGCAAGAAACCACAAGTCAGTGAAGGCTGGGCACAAAAGAAGGATGGACATCTGATAGAGAGGGTCAAACACTCAAATTCAGAGCAGCTCGCGCTCTGTCTTACCTTCCCCAAGGACATGTGGAAACGGGGGAAGACAGAGAGGAAAGAAAGGCTGCTCTGAAGCCTCTCTGCCCTTGCCCTCCTCTGTCCAGGGGGATAAGGCTCACCTTGCTGGTGGCGGTGGCCGAGGAGCCAGGCAGCACGGGCGTGTTGGTGACCTGCACGTTCAGGTAGTTATTGTCTATGAGAGGCCAAGCCCCCTGCACCTTGCAGGTCTGGAAAGTGTCCGTGAAAGTCCTGAGGTGGGGGTCCCCAAAGAGCCCGCAGTGGGTGTAGTTGGGGGCGGCCGAGTGCTTGTGAAAGCTCTTCTCATAGTGGCAGATCTCGGGGCTGTCTGAGCGCTCCTGGCTGTCCCCGGGGGGCAATGTCCGGAGGCGGGGCTGGGACGTGGGGCCATCCTTGGAGCAGTTGTGCTGCACCATGAGATCGTCTATGCCATGCACGGCCGAGTGGTAGGCCAGGTCTCCCCTGCAGGTGCGGGCGGTGCGGCGCGTGCAGTGCGCGTAGGCGCGCAGCGCCGTGCAGAACTCCGGCGCCTCCTCCGCGCCCAGGTGGTGCGAGCCCGACGTGGCCGCCCAGAACTCAGAGTTGCACTTGAGGATCTTGCATGGAGATGTCACTGTGAGAGGGAATGAGAACACAGGGGGGTCAGTGGTGGCTTGCCCGACTCCATCCCCATCCAGAGGCTGCGTCCTCCTCCCGCTGCCCAAACTCATGACACCGGCCCGGCCGCGTGACAGAGCCTCGCTCGCCAGACGTGACCATCTCACATGGCCCAACTCCCATGCATCAAAGCCAAAGAAACCAACAGGATCTGCCCCAACTGAAGCCAAAAAGGAAAAGAGCATCCAGCCTTTAGATGAATGATCATGGGGGGAAACCATGGTGTGGAAGAATGGGACATATTCATAAGCAGTGATGAGGGCAGATCATTAATGTGGGGGGAGATGCAATGGGGTTTTTAATTGCCCTTTTAGGGTTTGACATTATAAACTGTGCTGCATGAGTTACTGGGCACTGTGTCCAGACTGAGCTCTACCAACACAAAGCTCTCTTCCTTTTCCTCCTGTATAGGCTTGGGAAAACCGAGCAGCATCACAACCACGGTGCCCAGGTTAAGATCAGGACCAGTGCCACGTCCCACCCTGCAGCACAGTCAGAGGCCACCCACCATCACCCGTGCCACAGCAGTGACGGGTGCAGCACTTGTCCCTGTCCCTGTGCCTCCAGGAAGAAACGGGAGCCAAAAAACCTCTTTTTTTGACGTCTGTGCAGCTCTGCCCAGCCCTGGGAGCCCGTTCCCCACCACGGCCCGCTGAGAGAGAACAAGAGGTGGAGGAGAAAAACCGGCACAGCAGGTGCAGGGATGGCAGCGAGCCCCCGCCTCCCCTTCCCACCCTGTGCATTGCCCAGGTGGAGGCGAAGCCAGAGGCTGCAGGGCCTTTGCCGGGCTCAGCCGCAGCCCTGGTGCTTCCTGGCAAAGAGGAGGAAGGCAAAGAAAATTCAGATCCTGTTTTTTTCCCCCCACACACAACGTCTGCTCCCTGGGGCAGTGTGGCTTCCCTGGAGCAGACTTGAAAGCAGCTGTGCAAAAAAGCACATGGCCATGGCTGAATGTCGCAGACGCTGCTCTGCCCCTGCCAATTTGGAGTCTTGCTGGGTGAACCCAGGCTCACACTACTTAAAATTCATGGCATTTTCCTTCCTCTCCTCTTAGTCGACCCCCTCGGAGCAACTGGAAACAGGATGGGTTCAGGCAGAAAAGGCAGCAGGAGGAGGAGAAGACAAGCCCCACCATTTCCAGATGCTTTCACGGTGCCTTTTGCAGGCATACCCATATATTCCTGTCTTGGGGCTTGTTTAGAAGGAGCCTGGCAGGGAATCTGTGCCAAAAGTATCTCAGATTTGTTTAAAAAGAAAGTTACAAAACCCAGTATTGTTTCAGGGAAAACAGTATGTTTGAATTTTAAACATCACAGTGCTGGAAACCTAAACAGAGTTGGTGCTGGAAAATCAGAAAGGGAGACTTAGACTATAAAACACTGAGCAGTTCGGCTGTGAGAAACAAGCCTGTCTCCTCTCCGTTTCCAAGAAGACTGAAGTGCAAATAGGAAATGGTGACAGGTTCCTCACAGTTTTAAAATTCATGTTTAATAAACTCAGATGCTAGCAACAGCACCGAGAACCCGGGAGCTGTTTGGTCTTGGCAGCACCCCACTTAAACCTGCAAGAAACTCTGTGGAAAGCGTTTAACTCATCATTGACCAGAGGTGACTCAACAACAAGGTTCTGACCTGGGACATGGGCTCATGTTTCTGCTAAGTCTTCTGCATGTTCGGGTCAAATTTAAAGATATTTATTATTTCACATCCCTCTCTTGTTCATTCCAGGAGTGTGGTTTTCCAGGACTGTCATCATGGAAGGCAGGAGTCAAAACAGCACGCAGGAGTGTGACCAGTGCCACCACTGCTGGTTATCCCAAACCCTTGTGGCATCAGGCAATTAAAGTCATTGCTCTCCTAGTTGTTATGCTAATGCACAGCTTGAGGATGCCTTGGGGTGGCAGAAGGTGCTGTCACTGCAGCAAGACCTGCCCGCAGAGCCCCAGGAGAAGCTGGAGGACACAACCCTGGACACGCAGGAGCCACTCACCCCACAGTTCAGTAAGGCACCAGGATGCACTACCCAAAGCATCCCATCCAGTGAGCAGCTTGCAGGGTCCTGGCTGCAGCACTCTGCCTGTTCCAGCCCTTCAGCTGCTGTGCAGGGGGGGATTTTTTTAGTAGGAATAATCCCACAGCCTCTTGCTCTTTAAGGACTTGCTGCACTCGCTTGGATGAGGAGATGCAGGCGTGAGCTGTGGCTGCCTAAGGACAGAGAGGCTAAACAGCCCCCAACACCCAGAGCTGGACACATCCTGGTGCTGAGCATCCCTCACTGCTGCCCTGCCCGGGGTCACACATGACTTTATAAGGTACTGAATTAAAAAATCCCAACCGAAGGGAGGGCAGGGAAGCCCATCTCCTTCCTCCCTGCGCCTGAAGGGGGAGCGTTCTGCTCTCCGATGTTATCGCTCCACTTTTGGCACCGATCCCCTTCTGGCTGTTTCGCTCAGGGCCCCATATAAGGCCACATCTCCAAATCCAGGTGCCCCGGCTGGATGCTGTGCGAGCTCACGCCTGGCCTTGCCCATGGACATTTCCCCATTACCCTCACGGCAAATCCCTCATGCTGCTGGGGAGGGACCACGGCTGACAAAGGCTGTGGAGGAGAGCAAACACGACCCTTACCCCTCCCAAGCAGCCTTGCCTCGTCCCCTCTGGCAGCAGCTTTGGCACAGTGGTGCAGGCTCATTTGTACCCTGGCCAAGAAACGATGTTTATTCAATTTCGCATAATCTATTTTCCATCGACTCACAATGGTTCTGTTTTTCAACCACAGATGACTTAGCATGGAAACAAATCCCTCTCAAGCAGGAACCCAGCAAGGCTCTCCTGGGATCTGCGAGACATCCCCAGGTCTGGGTGATTTCTCGCCCATGGCAAAGCAGCCTTCATCCAACCCCTCCAAGCCACCTCCTAACCCTCCCCATCATCTTATTTCAAGGCCTTGGTGCCACTCAAACTGGGGAACAAAATTTCCTTTGTTATCTGGAAACCAACGGTTTCAGAAAGTTAAAGCCAGAAAAAAGTATATCAGAAAACCACCTGGACCCCTCCCATATCCCCCATTTGTTCAGGGACACTTCCCGGGAGGACTCTTAAGGTCTGTGCTGACTGAAAAGCCACCCCATTCTCCAGGCAGGCTGTTTCAGGAGTTTATCACCTTTACAAAACACGGGTCTTGGTTCTAAGTGGATTTTATCTGACTTCATTGTAAGGACATAAAAAGAACCAGCGATTTTCTCCGAAGCAGTAAAAGGTCCGTTAGTAACGAGTGTGCTTCCCACAAAGATATTTACACACTGCAATCAAGTCCCTTGTCAATCCTCCAGATAAGCTAAACGGTTTGCACTTTTAAGTTCTTGTTGGAAGGTGTTTGCCGGGTCCCACCATCAGATCTCCCTCCAGCAGCCTTGTTCTCTACACAACCACCACCCCGACAGGACACGGCGATAAAGGACACGCTCACTACTGTCCCGAGGTCAGCCCTTCAACCAGGACATTGCAATGAATTGCGACCTTTTCCTGAGCTCCTGGTTTGGAAATCCCTGTTCCTCCCTTCAGCAACATCTCTTGATGTTGAACATCCCAACAACAACTAAACACATGCTCAGGGTATCACTCAATCCCAGTCCCACTGCTCTGCCCTCGCCATTAGTACTCTGCATTACCTGATGTCAAATTAAATGTTCAAACATATGCGCACACCTAACTTTAACAGCATTTAATTACCATGCTCCCCCCATTCTCCCTTCAGCTGGTATCAAATAACCTGGATTTCATTTACCCAAATCAGGCTAGTTCACAAAACCTATCTATTCTCCTGTAACAAAAACAATTACTGGAAATTAATTTCTGTAAGTAAAAGCCAATTCTTTTAAGAGAGTCTTGAATGCACATTCACCAGACCTGTTAATTTTCAAGTGTTCACTGCTATGCAATGTTTTTTAATATCCTCTTGGTTCCTAACGGGCTGGAAAGTATTTCATCACCCACATGTGATGCAAATACATCATCCCGCGTTTTTCCAAATACATGGATTGAAGTGTAGATGTGCAAGCCTCACACATGCAGTAAAGGGCCTTTTTGGAGAACATAGTAAAACGTAATTACCTTTGGCCTCAGATCTGAGCACCCAGACTTAGGCTCCTAAACACATATTTATTTAAGTAATCTAAATAAACATATTTATGCTGACACCTCAATAGGAAAGGCACAATTCTCCAAGGTGCTAAATACCAGCAACATCTGCCAGCCTCTAGGAGATGTGGGCTGCTCTGCTCATAGGCAGACAGCAGTCACCACCAGCATGAAAATGACCTCAAAAGAATTAAAAAAAAAAAAAAAAATCACATTGCTCCTTAAAAACACGGCACAGGGGATTGCTTCCAGCAAGGTTTCAGGAGTCCCAAGCAAAAACCGAGGGAATGAACACTGCTTTGCATCCAACCAAGTGCTGCTCCTATACCAAGGGGTGTCTCCACGAGCCATTCCTCATGGTGGCCACATCTGGATGCCCATGAGGGCCGTAAGATTAGATATAAAAATGGAATTTTTTTACAATTAGGGTGCTGAGACACTGGCACAGGTTGCCCAGAGAGGTGGTGGTGGGTACCCCATCCTCGGAGACATTGAAGAGATCTCTGCCCATGGAAAGGGAGTTGGACGGGGTGACCTTTAAAGGCCCCTTCCAACCCCAATCATTCCGTGATTCTCTTTTATGACACGGATCAGCCGGCGCCTTGTCACACCAGGGAGAGAAAGGAGCGGCTCGGTGCAGCCCTGATGGATGGGATGTCACGGGCAGGGACAGCTCTCCCGCAGCCCCACGGGGCACCGTGGGGCGAGCAAGAGCCAAGGGCCACCTGACCCAAGCTTGGTGAAAGGATTTGTGCGGGAAGGCAGCGCCGGGCTCTTCCAGCGACCTCCTTTGAACTGTTAATCAAGCACAATCTTG